ATGAGCGATAGCTTCGTGTTTTATTATGGGGTGGTAGCTGGTGTCACCTACTGGCTGTAGCGAATATACGTGGCTTCCGTGGAAAGGTTCCTGAACTATGGGGGGACCCAAAAAATGCACGCTGCCTGGTTTTTCCGACGCAGCGTGGCATACATTTGAGCTTAAGAAACATTTTGATTGCTCGTGGTACAAATAATCGGCAAGGTAAAACTAAATTAAGCCTTGTTTGGAAATTTTCTAAATATTTGGCTGTATGAAGTGAAGAAAAGCCTCGTTGAAATTTTCTTCCGAGTTCCAAAGAGGACGACGAAGTTGAGTCCTAGAAACGATGAGAAAGAAGCGAGCAGTGAAAGGCGGGCCGTACACCGGCAGCATGGTTGGCCAGCATGTAAGAAATGTATATAACACCGCCATAAATTGAAAAACCTGTAACTCGGCTCCACTGAAAATTGACCGATTAATAAATTACCCAAGAACGCTGGAAGTGTAATTCTACGATCCGCGCGCGCTGGCCTTCCACTTATAAAAGATTTGAAGTAAATAATCATAATAAATCTTTGACGAACACGAGTGCACGGCAAAGTTTGTTTTAGGCTTTTTGCTTCAGAACAGTTATTACTGCAGACGCCAGCAGGTGCAGTGCGTGTAACTACACTCGTAGCATGCATCTCGGTGCTTTTGAAATTTAGCAAAAGGTCTATGGGAACGCTCTCTGCTTTTGTGTATTATCAATACCCGGCCGATTGAGTCAAGGCAATCCACTTTCCAAAGACGTTGCCATGCCGACAATTATCGCGTTCATTTAGGCTTAGGAATGGCCAGAGTCGAAAGCCTATCTAAAAAATGCGGCGAGGTCATTGCTCATGTTTTGCGTTTTAAGTGAGGTAAGGCAACGCAAAAACCTCCTGCACCATTCATTGCTGACTAACCAACCGCTACTGCAGCTACTACGACATATTAGTTCCAAAGCGAGCGGCGCTCACTCACCGGGGCACCGCCATGTTTCCCCGCCGTCCTTACTTTGCCGGTCACGTGACCCAAAATTCCCCCTCGTAGGGAAATCCGGTTAACCTCGGTTAGTTAACCAGCTTCGAGCAAACGGGCCCTGGTGGCCTCATGTTGCCTCCAAAAGCTTCCTACCTCCACGCCAGAGGGTGACAAAAACAGCTGTTTGCGCCAAGTCAGCTCTCCCTTTCGTCCAATAGCGTTTCTCGGTTTTGGTCATTGTTGGGGGTGTGTCCCTCCGCAATTCTGGCTTCACCTCTGCTGACCAGAAGTATATCTACTTACTGGTTCCCTTGAGCTACTACTTTCGTGGCGTGAAACTAACAACGTGAACTAAACTCTTGTGGCACATAAAATACCAGCATGGCCGCAAATGACATTACAGGCAAGCTACATATAGGCAATAGGGCGTACACTCCACGAATATTACTACTAGGCGAGATTGTCACGTCTTGGTGCCTCCAAGCAGAAATGCTAGCAACTACAGTATCTTTGACCATGCAGAAACCCTTGACTTCACGAGTGCGATACATATTGCACTTCCGGCTGGCCGAATTTGAGCCGAAAGGTAGAGAGCTCGCAGCCATGTCATTTAGCTTTTGTACCCCTTTAACTGAAACTCGTGACGGTGAAACCACTTAGTGAAACCACACAGATTTGCAAAAATGTGTGCAAGAATAGTCGCCATTCAAATTTGCAAGTATTGAATCTGAGATGTATTGGTATATTTCCTGCCGCGCGCGTCTCCAAGCATGCGCGCCCGTGGTTATCGTGTTTGGTTCCCACACAAAGGGCCGAGGTTAAATGCCTGGTAGCGAATGCAACTTTTTGTTATTTCTGTAAACGTCGCATTCTGGTAAATTTGAGAACCCTATTGATTGTTCAAGGTTTGAATGCTCTGTGCGTCAAACAATCTATGCCGATCGTTCCAGAAGCCCCCGCACATACATACGGGGCTCCATATGGTTAGCCAGAGTCAGTCTTGCCCCAGCGCTCGATCCTGCTGTTTCGCCGACATCGACCCCCACGATGCTCTATTGTTACCTTCCGTTTCCTTTTTAGTTTGGCACAAGTTTGCCCCATTAAGCATTTCGTTTCTCCAGTTTTTTGCCACCTCATCATTTGTCATTCGTGACATATATATAGCAAATTAATGCTCTTTTACATCGCCGACATCCTACATGTTATAACTAGCATTTCATGTTTTCAGAGTTCATTTTTCGTCGAAAATTCGGGGTGTATCTGAATTTAATTTCGTTAGATTCCCAAGTTTTTGAAATTTTTAGTTTATTTTACTGTGTTCCCAAGTTTTAAAAATTAAAAAATGTAATAAGAGAAGTTTGGGTGCCATGACCCGTTGTCCTGAAGGAATCTCGATGTGCCAAAAAGGCAAACCCCTTTTGTCAGTAGTTCGAGATTTCAAAGACAACTGAAGTTGCATCTCCTCAAGACCACTAACCTTATTGCTCTTATAAAGTTTATTTGTAAAACAGTGCCTTGTTTTGCTTTTCATTTTGCCTTCGTGACCTCGAAATGGAGTTTTTCGGATAAATCGGAATTGACAAAAAATTTACTGGCGAGTGTTTTTAAAATTTATTCGAAAACACAGAACCCTACCATAAAGTTCCGAAAGAACGCCCACCCAAAATGAAGAGATAAATGTTGAAAAAAATTCAGTGGGCTATTTTTTGGGGATGCCACAGCAAAACTTTATCAAAAATGAATAATAAACACCGGGGCACCAGCTACAAACCACATGACGCGGGAACAGATACTCCAGATCGCGGACACCACAAATTAGCGTTTCACTAGCCAATAAACATGCAGGAATTCGGTACGAACTCCTGCGTCACAAGAAAGGATACTGCAGGTTGCATATGCAGCGGATTTGCATTTTACCGTGCGAAGGACCTACGGAAACCCGCCGAGAACTCGCATCTCACAGGAACGAATATTTCAAATTGGGGATGCAGCAGATTTAAGTTTTATGAAGCAATAAACACGCGGGAACCTGCTACAAATTTGCCTGTCACAGAAACCGATATCGCGCACGCAGACTGCGGACAAAAAGGCAAGTATCTGCTACCAAGTCATGTCACCGGAGCGAATACTGCGGATCGTGGATGCAGCAGAATCACATTTCACAATGCAATATACACGCAGGACCAACTTGCGCATTACTGAAATCGATATTGCGCTTGCAGGTCGCAGACAAAAACGTGGGAACCTGCTACAAACTCTCATGCCACAGGAGTGGAAGCCGCAGATCGAGACACAGCAGATTCACATTTCACGATGCAATATACACGCGGGAACAACTCGCGTGTTACGGGAGCCAATATCACGCCGGCTTATACTGGACAAAAACGCGGAAACCCGCTATGAACTTGCTTATCAAACGTACCGGTATAGCAGATTGCACGGCAAAGGAGATTCCCGTCGGACGTTGTGTGACGTCCGACAGGAATCCGGCGGGGGGGGGGGGGGGTACAATGTTTTAGAATTTTTATGTTACAGATATTTAGCCAGAAAAATGTGATGGGCGATCTCTCAGCGGAGGGCATTCTCTTAGAACTTTATGGTAGTTATAACACTCAATGCATGTTGGTGACAGGCTGTAAGAAAACATAACGTCGTCTTTATACAGTCATTAAACGCTTCTGTTCTAGCAGCATTATAGTATATAATTTGAGCTGTCCCTAACAATGAGACCAAGGTGCACATATATACCCAGCTCATCCCCAAAAATGTTAATTGATATATATGGGACGCCAGTCCACCTCACTTTCTGGTGGCCAGAGGCGCCTCGCTAAGTAGCGAAAGCTACCCTCTCATGCTCCCTTTCCCTTATTATGTCTGACCAAGTGACGTCAGTGCAAGCTATGTATACAGTGGGGTGTCCGTATTAACGGGCTATGACTGCAGTCGAACATATGCAACTGGGGAACGCAACGGACAGCAGTTGTTAGCAAGTTGCTGCGTCCTTCATTTCTGACAAGTACAACTGTAGATCCTACCAGTGCCACTCCTTGTCTACATCCCCCCATGCAACTGCCAAATAGTGTTCTCACGAACAAGAAAAATGAGGAGAGGAAAGCAACACGAGGACGGCTTCTGTAAAGCTAGGCGATTGATGCCATGGCCCAACCTACTCCTTCGAAACCTCATGCTAGCACGGATCCTCAAGGAGCCGACTTCATTCAAAATAAAATATTACCGGTGAAAGATTGCAACCCCTGTCGATTTCAAGTATATATATATATAATTACAGCGGAGCTGTTAAGGACTAGTTTCCCCAGCATTGTGTCCGGTACTAAACAAATGTCGACACCCCTGGTCGACACAACACTCTGGTTGCCGCCGTCTCTCATAGATGGTGGTAGCTGTCCAGAGTACTATGTTTGCCGGTTGTCTGCTTGTCGCCGTCGTTCATAGATTGCAGCAACCTTTCCAGCCTCGGCAACCAGACAACTGTTTGCTGCCTTAGCTCATAGATCGAGGCAACATTTCTTCGGAAAAATAAGAGCGGGAACGGAACGAGCGGCGATGTGCGCAGCAGCGCGAATGGTTCTGCAATCGCCGCAAAGTCGCTATCGCCTAAAGTTCCACTGCGTTGAGCGCTTCAGATTCCCTTGCGACAGAGCAGATCACTTGCCTGGAAAGCCACTGCCGAGAACAGAAGCTACAGAAGGAAGATCAGCGGAGCGCTGCTCTTCCTTCTTAACCAGAGTGGAAGAACTGAAAGATTTTCTTGCCAAGTGTCCTTCAAACAACCGATGAGCCAGCCATTCTAATTGTCTTTGCATTACTTGCGAAATACTATCCTAACAGAGTTCATATCAATGCTACCAGGCAAAGGCTAAGGCCAAGCACTGTCAGGGTGGTCTTGGGCTGGACAGCAGTTACATTAAATGTAATTTGCTATTTGTATCATTCCAAATATATAATGAGCCTCGGGAAAAACACTAGAAATAGAAGAGAATTGCAAAACTTACCTGGAGACAGTGCCAAGAAGAACAGATTCACAAACCGTCTGAAAAAGAAGGTTTTTCTTAACAATGCTGTGGAGCTCAGTTGACTACCGCATGACTTAAAATGCACTGCAAGTAAACAATTTTTTAAACATAGACTGTAGCTGCCTCATTTGGTTGTTTGTTAGAAAGAACACCAAGAAAGCACCCACCCAAATCACTATACAATTATGACACAATTTGTGGACTGGTGCCCACTTTAGCTAAATTTACTACTAGTATATTTTATGTGCTCTGGCTGATTCTAAAGTTCATATGGGAGGAACAAATCATTAGCAGACAATAAATAGATGTACTAATGCATAAGATTGTTGAGCTTCAAACTAAATTACAAATAGCACTAAGACCAGGACAGACGAAGAAGTGGACAGGACAGGCGCTAACTGATGGTTTTATATACGAGAAAGAAGAAGGTGAAGGAAGAGGTTGGTGTTGAAAAAAGAAGGAATCCCGTTCACATGTGGGAAAATGTATATAGGACAGACTAGACACGGCATAAATACACGACTGAGAGAACATGCTCTAACTTTGAAATTAACACCTTCTGGACATATAGATATGTATGTGCAAGATTGCACCTGCACGCCTTTACTTTAGGACACAAAAGTGATCAGACGTTTTCAAGACAAGAGGATAAGAGAAATATTTGAAGCTAAGACCATACAAGCCAATGGAAGGAAATTGTCTCAAAACCATTTTTGGCGTTGACTGAGAAAGAGTTTCAGTACTTGAACCATTATACATGATAATCTTCATAATTGTAAACTGTACAAAACACAGCGATAACTTTTTTTTTTTTATTCTTATTTTTGTATTTCACGGTTTAGAGGTCATTTTTTATCCCTACAAAAAATAATATTGTATATAGTTCAAATTCATTACCTTTGTTTAATTTTTAATATTTTTGTTTTGGTCAACTGTGCTTTAGTTCTATTAGTCTAACAAGCTCCTTTCATAGAACACCCCGACTAGAAATAGAATTATTTCTTCTCCTTTTTTCAACACCAACCACTTCCTTCACCTAGTTCTTTCTCATTGTATATAAAACAGTCAGTTGTGAGTTGGCGCCTGTCCTGTCCACTTTTTCGTCTCTCCTTGTCTTAGCGCTGCTTTTAATTTAGTATATATAACCAACTGGCCTGCCAGAATATTTTGATATTGAACTTCAAGCAAGAAACTTCAACAAAACACAGATATTTATAACATAACAGATATCCATCCCTTAAAGGATGCTCATTCATATTTCAATAGTGAAAGAACTCTTGATATTATAAGATTATATAAAACATATTTCCAATGCAACTAATTAGTATAAAAATATTTAAGAAAAAGGGACTCACAAATAACATCAGCAAGATGAGGTTGACAGGAAACGAACGCCGAACGCTTTCACAGCAGGCCAACACAATCATCAACACAAAAGTGATCACCCTGGGATAAAATGAAAATTGTTGCCATTACAATACAATCTCACCTAGTAAACCTAAAAATGAGCATTAGCATTTTTAGAGCTCGAGGACGTTTGAAGGAAAGATGTAATCAGAGCTTCGTACAGCTTCAAGAAGGCGAAAGGGCAATGTTCTATGCAAATATTTCAATCAATATATTAAAGTTGAAGCTTTAAAGAATACATGGATCAACATTATTTTTTCTGGGGTCTATTTCTGGCTGAGGAAAAATTTTGGAGAGAACAAGTGGAAGTTGTTATTTCTCAACAAGAATTTTATCAATGAAATGTAAAAGAACAATGGACTAAGATGCACACATTTCAGGGACCTAAAGAGTGCTGTCATAGATGTTAAGTTCCTTCTGAAAATGATGGTAAATACAACTTTCTTTTATCACTTTTTTTCAGAACACACCTTATTATCCTTCTTCCTCACACACATTTTGCAAACAATGGTCAAGCTAAAGGTAGGCCAAAGCTAAGTGCCATAAGACCAAGACACCATAAGGTCTCCACAGGCTTTACATTGGGATGAGACAACCAATGGCTCGGACAAGAAAAGCATGTCTATTAATCAGACATTCAAAGAGTATGTCATGTGTACCAATAGAACGGCAGGTCACTTTTCCTCAATACAGAAATTGTGAGGAAGACATCCGTCCCATCATAAATCGTCGGAGTAATTTGAACTACAGTCAACTCTCAGTAATTTAAATTAATTGTAGGAATCTCGCATTTAATTCATTTAACCCATTTATTGCGTTTCACGTGCATCACGCTGCTATAAATTGCCTCGTGATATGCAGACGGAGAGCGTACTACCAAAGATGAATTGTCGTTTTCATGTTTTCCTATTGAAATATTTTAGTTGATAGTCAGCACTTGTCCCGTGTGTTTCTTCTTTGTCCCTGTCTGTTTTTCATGCTGTTTCCTATGATGAATTCCCACCAACTCGCCCAACTATCCACTCTTCTAAGTAATTGAAAGCCACATTATTAAAATATTCGGTTTGCAAGGGAGCGGTCTCGGCGGTCGTACATACAAGTCCCTGGGAAAAGTTGTGGCAGCGATAACAGTGTGGCCGCGCGGCACGCATGGCCAACAAAACTCAGCTCTAAGAACTACCCAACCCTCACAGATGTTCCGTCATCAGAAAATACTTATCTCAACCAAAATGTCGTGGTCTGTGGTCTGCTTTCGGACAACAAAATTGTGCGAGTGGTTGGGCCTAGGAATCGTCATGTCACTTTCCATGCAAAGTGCTGCTGAGGTGGAAACTGCACACAGAACTTTTGTATTGGTGAAGAAAACGCTGCAGGTGCCCAAGAAAGGTTCGCAATATGCAGAACATAGTAGTTACTAAGGCATGTCTCCATCACCGGAGGCAAGCAAAAGTCAACAAGTTCTCCTGAGTGAGTACAGAGCACAGGCTGTCCCAAGCGGACTTTCCGCTGTAGAACAAGCTGGAAAAATCGGCGCCAGCATATGGAAGGTTCAAACTTTCACCGAATATGCACCGAGCAGGTCAGACTTACCGTGTGAAATTTCAAGGCGAAGTTCTTGTAAAAATATGAAAGCAAAAATCTTGCCAAAATCAATGTTGGGCGCATTCACAGATGACTGGGTTAGCGATGCTAATTAACTGCTTAATTTACCTGCTAATTTCTCGTGCTTGTTTTACAGCGATGCTAAATACCTGTTTAATTTACCTGCTAATTTCTCGTGCTTGTTTTACAACGATGCTAATTACCTGTTTAATTACCTGCTAATTTCTCATGCTTGTTTTACAGCGATGCTAATTACCTGTTTAATTACCTGCTAATTTCTCGTGCTTGTTTTACAGCGGAGGGTTCGCTTGGGATACCCTATATATGAAGCATTTGGCTGTCCCTGTGAGCTTCAAATTATTGAGTCCCCTTATGGGTATGCAGTAGTCAATAAACAATAAACAGCACAGTTTGATGGGGTTCTAGATACCACCTAAACCAAAGCAATTTCCAGTGATTAACAGAAGCACCAAACTTCTGTTCTTCCCTCACACTCTAAACCAATAAAAAGCTGCTACATTCGTGTATGCTTTCAAACACCAAGCCTCCGAGGCCACAACAGAAGCTGAATAACTCACATGGCTGATATGTATAATCCTGGGTGCTGGCGGGAGTAGAGCTTGACATTGGGCCTGAAATAAGAAGCAAGATGTAAATAAAAATAGCAAAAGGTATTCAACAAACAAAGCTCTCTCCAACTGTCTTAATCACCTGTGATTATTCCTTCTCACGGAATAGGCCTTATAAGCGCAAGCCAATTTAATAGACTGATGTCACTAACTATTCATGCACTGCTTATGCTTCCAGTTTTTCAACTAAATGCGTAAGTGTAGTAGTGTTAGGAAATAGACCTTTTTCCAGTAGCTTTTCATGCATGTGCGTGCATACTGTCGCTCCCAATGTGCTGCCGCCATTATCAAAGGACAGCCACACAGTGGTACAAGTAGCAGCTCAGTAATACCATGGCACACCATGGTACAATTAACAGCTCATGTTCATCGCGTTTCTCTGCGGTTTGCCGGGGCTGTGCGGCTGACTTGTTTCTGCCAATATCGTTCAGCATCATTGGTGACCCAGTGAAGCATCAAAAGAGTGATTAATTTTCTAGTTCAACGATTTTTGAGGAACGCCTTGTAGTGATACTGTTCTTTTGATCTGTAGTTGGTTGCCCAAATCGAAGAAGGACAAAACTGTAACAGTTTATGCTTTTGCATCCTGTCGCCCAAGATACGAGTCAATCATCAATAAAAGAAGTAGGTCGCAGCTGTTCATCTCGCGAATTCCGTTGTTCGGCCTGGCAGCCGAGGAACAATGTTCGAATAAGGAATGCGAGTTGATAATCAAACAATCATGTTTTTAGGCTTTGAGAGATACTTTCTAGAGAAGAGAGGACAAGGAAACATTTCAGGTGAGGTAGACCCTAGAAATAGCCTTCATCATGACTGTTTTGCTTATTATACAAGCAAAACAGTCATGCCTAGTATGGTCCTGTTTTAGCGGGAAAACATGTGGTACGGATGGCCCGACAGCACGCGGTAGCGAATGGGTTTAGTTTGGCTTGATTTTCTATTTATTTTGAAACACCGAAAGTATAGCTCATCCCTACATAGTAATAGTAGTGTCGGGGTCAATAATGACTTCAGTGTAAATGCAGCTAGTTAGTTATGGTGGGATATAAGGGAATGTTGCTGACTGGGAAGCAGTCATTTCTGCTTTGTTGGCCCTCACCATGGAAACAAGCTTGGAACGGACACATGGCCAAAAGTAGCATTTTTCTTTACTTTCCTTGATTGTAAACCGAAAGTTAGCCCACTCCATATTTTCACCCGATTTGCTCTTGAGTTTAGGTGGACTATCTTTAAGCAAATTAAAATAGTAAAATATGCATAAAATTTCTCCTTCATTTGGCAAAGTTGCTCTTAAAAATTGCACAGGACAGAACCACAAGGGCTGAAGGTATTAGAACCCTCCTTGCAAGGTTAAGCAACAGGCACCATCTATAAGGGGTGCTTAGCAGTCAGTGACAATGGTTTATTACGCACAATCACCCACAATACAGGTTAGGATGTCAAAGCAAGCACTGGGAAGCGCCGGCAGCATTATCTACATGAGCGGAAGAGCCTACAAGGCCTGCGGCACGTGCATGACCCGCTCTGGCGCTATTTCAATGAAATCCATACTGCTTCACATGCATCTTCCTCGTTCCCCGCGTTATCTTGGCCGCTTATTAGACGCCGAGTCAGTCTTTGCCAGTTGTCACTGAGGCTTTAACACCACGTTTTCCAGGTACATAATTACTCAAAATATATTGAATCAAACATTGTGAGTTAACAATGAATGTTAATTTGTCCGCATCGTCGGGTAAAAGTGTAAATGCTGTAAAGAGTAAAATCTTTAGCAGTAGCATCTCGCTTAACTTTTTTTTATGAAAGCCAGAACCTATGTACCGCCACAGCAATAGTTTACAAAGATTCACTACTGCCAAGGTCACTACTCACTTAATCATAAATAAAACAGCCTTTACTTATCTTAGGCAGCCATTTTACCTAAGGACAAATTCAACAGAGGGAGAAACTCATTTGGTCCTCAACTGATGGCAACTCGTACAAGGTGACTACTTACTCAAAGATGAACAGGGCAATGAACCCTGTGGTGATCCCCAGCTGAACGACAAGGATGCCATATACCTTGCGGATAAAGCCTGTAATCAAATAAAGGAGCGATTATGAGCAGGATAACAAAACCAACTACATCCCTTTTTGACTGGAAGCAGGCACAACTAATGCTGCAGAGCAACAATAACTACATAAAACATATTTCCAACCCACAGAGACCTTTCAAACACACTTGTGAAGCCTGGAACAAATAAGAGCATTTCTTTTCATCTCCTTTAAAGAGTTACATTTGGTTTTGATACCAAACATCCAAGGATGCCTCGCTATTAGGCACTTCTTAGATCTCATGCATGCAAGCAGTACACTTTTTTTATACTAGACATTTTTATGCGAATATTCCACATAAAGACTGCTCTACTGTTCTGAAGTGATTCACATATATGAAAAAAAAATAATATAGGTAAACTTGAAAAAAATAATAAAATGTACAAAAAAGAATTCATTTTGATTCCACAGATGAAGTCGGCGTGCACACAATGTGTTTCTGCTGCATTCTTCAAGGTTTGCAATAAACAATAGCTTTTTTTTTTCTTAAATTTTGCTTTTGTTATAGCATGTCATTTTATTTTAAGCTATGTACTTTTCAGTGGGAAGATGAAAAGGTCTCATATTTTTTGTTTCTTCCCATAAACAGTTTCAACGCGTTCAGTTACTAGCTGTCACAGTGGCAGAGACAAAGCCAGCAGCTTTGCATATACCCACTGATTAGTGCAGTGGTAGAATGTCGGGCTCTATATCACGGCGACGTGGGTTCGATTTCCGTCAGGGTGCGTTTAGAGCTTCGTCCTTTCTTCTCAACTTACCACTTTGAATAGAATCATACCCCGAAGTATGCGTTACACATTTTGTAACTGGTTCTATGACATTCCCGTCACACTTTCCTCAAGAATCCCAGCCCCGAAAGGGGAAGTGCAACAAATTTTATGTTTAAAGCAGTTACAGCCCACATTTTGTAGTGTTCATGTAGGCACAAGTGAGAAGAAAGAATGTGCCCCCTTCTCCTTCCAAAAAAAGACCAACATTTCGCGGCGTAATCACAAAAGAAAAAACATTATTTGCCGATCTGCAGCCATGTGTGTCGGTGACAGGAACTATGGTGACGCGTCACTGGAGTACACGCAAAAGTCAACAAACCCGGTCCCCACCCGCTGCTACGTCTGCCATCAGCCCTGCGGCCAACCATGTTCTATCTTGATCGCTCCCCATGAATTTCGGCAATGTTAATCCTTGAAAAGTCGACAATTGCGGAGGGAGCGGCCGGGGGCTCTGAAGACATAACCCGACGGGAAACCGGGTGGTCTTCCAGTGACGCCACTCGAAAGACGGCGTAAAAGTTGAGGGAAACTTTGACCTTCAATTTTTTTTTTTTAATATGAATTTGCTTGCACGAAAAAAAAATTGTTTTCTGTTTGTTCTGTAGGTGACACAAATTCCTGCAATTAATTGACCAAAGTCCAAAAATCATTGCACCGCCTCTTTAAAAGGGTTTTGCATTAAAATGTGATTGCCAGACACAAGTACATTGAGCACATGTGCAACTCAAAAGACTAGACCGGGACTGATTGAGGAAATTTCGCAGTTAAGGTTTTGCATTACATTCGCCCTGCTGGGAGTGGGTGCCTTCAAAATTTTCTTCTCTCCGATAGCACGCTACTTTTAAGCTTTTTATTTCGAAGTGCGATATGTAGAGCTGTTCATAGCTACAGATCACCCATGGATATCTTCTCTATGACACCGGCGGACGCATGTAAAAATGTGCCACATTTTTCAAATAGCAGATCGGACACGATGCACTGCAGACAAAGGCAGGATGTTATTTTCTTAGCCCTTATATTTGATACAGGTATCAAATGCATGGTCAAAATGACGGTCGAAATGACTCGAGCCATGGCTGCCTGATGCTGTGATGCATTTCTTTTTTATTCAAATAAACGGCAGAGCTGGCTTCTCCGCTCAATCAAAAGCTGAGTGTGAGTTTGGTTTGATTATTTTGTCAGAATAAGTAGGAAGTTCTCAAAGGACTGTTGATCGTTCTCTTCAAGCAGAACAGATGATTATGGTCATAGAGTGTGGTCTTTCTCGACAATCCTGATGGGCCCTTTTGGACGACGATCCTATAGGATTCAGATGTTGGTTCGGCTTATTTGATCATTCCGACAGCTTACACGGACTCTAACATCAGCATCGATGTCTGCGTATGATGCATTGAAATGGAGGCATGCAACAAATAGGGCTGGGAATGTTTATTTAGCACAAGCACACACGCATTAGATAGAATGCTCACTCAAAAATATTTTTAAAAAAGATGGATATTGGTTTTGTCGCGGATATACAACTATAGATTAAGCTTGCAGATGTGATTTGGATGTAGATGCAGTCTCAGAATGTGGGTAAAATGCAGATATGAAAATAATTTTGTAACGGTACACATAAAGATTATGAATACGAAAGAGAGAAAGGGCTTCACAAATTGAAGAATCTGCATTCTGGCAGCCTCTTTTTGTCTTCACATTCCCGATACTTGCAGTTTCAGAGTCAAGTACCACCTAGCCGAGTTAAGCATTTTAAAGCAGAATGCTTTTATGGTGTTGGTTTCACCATCGTCAGTAAGAAAAAGCGTTGCACTGGTTCCCTCAGTGCCCGTCAGGAGTCTTTACAGAAACCACCTTTTCCCTTGCCACGAATTTAACCCCATACTGAACCTTTTGCTCCATCATCCAATGATGGTGACTTAGTTGTGAGCTTGAAAACATGCCGCCAATAAAAAGTGAAATGATTCAAATCATGATTTAATGAGAGAAATTTGAAACCTTTTACAAAGATGACAGACGAAGGATGCGTTATGCACCTGCGCATCTCAAACAAGTCTAAAAAGCCCCCAAAAGTCCAAGACAGCAATACACATAAGAAAGGTCTAAAATCACTAAAGTATTGGAGACCAACACCTATCTAAATTTCTAAAAGTGCAAAAAATTGGCAGAAACTAGGACACACATAACATACCGTAGTCTGCCTTTCTCGACTTTATGCGAAGAATCAAGTAATAGGAACTGCTATCTAAACGTAGCATCAGTGATACAGAGGTCCTTGAAGAACTCTGGTGCCATCACAACTTCCTGCTTTTTTTTTGTTAGAAACCTGCATATTACTTTGGGGGCTCCAGAGGTCGTTCTAGAAACATTTGAAATGACAGGAAATTTTAATTTCCAAATTTGACTCCAGGGAAAGAAAATAATAATGGGCTAACTGGGATTCTTCTTTTTCTTCAAGGCATGACTAAATAAAATGATGAAAGAAAATTATATGATCAATCTTTACTTGCTATTAGGTTAGAAGAATAAAAGGCAATGCCCCTCCCCTCCCCCTCCCCCCCCCCCCCCCACACACACACACTTCTATTGTTTTTTCTGCTTTATTATACAGCAAAAGAAGTTACAAAATGCTGCATGCCACCTTCTATTTTCCTTTCCACATAAAATGTGACATAGCGATGGGCCATCTTACAAGAGCCACATCTTGTTACTAATTTCCTGATGTTACACTTGAGAATAATGTCTACACAAACAACTTCTTCTTATGCATGCATGTGTGAACACTATACCTAAAAACACAACACCAAGAAAATAGCCAAAGGAGAAATGCCCCCTGATGTATTTAAAGAGTGCACCACTCTTAGCACAATCCTTGACTTGCCACTTCATTTTTTCAGCAAGAAAGGATATGACACTGAAAGTTTAAATGTAGCAGAATATGCTCATTCGCAGCCTTCAATTAGGCAATAAGAGTTTTCCTCCAATGCAAAGCAGTATGAGTAAAATTTTGGAGTGCTTAGAAGTTGCTTCCGTGCTGACCGCACTGCACAGCGTATAACCACACAAAAAATATGAAGTTAGCTTGTCAAGGAACATAGACGAGAATCAAAATGTCTCACCGTGACGCACGGCTTTCTCTGAAAAGCTGTTGATTGTGTTGTCGTTGCCATAGCCCACTCCACCAACCTCAGCATCATAATATGACATTGTGATAACCTGTAAAAGAGTGGAAATGTAAGCAAGACAGAACAACCAAGCAGGAATCTAATTCCTCATGCTAAGATAAGCAGGGGAATGCAAAGGATGGGGGACAATGCAACAACAATCATTTCAGCAACAGAGTACATAAAACAAACGGGACTGCAGAGCCCCACTGCATTGTCCTCCTATTTGTTCCTTCGTCATTGGTTCGTTGTGACGGTGCAAACGGCAGTTTTAAATTTTATTAATGCAAAAAATAATCTTATCAACATGAGTCATATACGAGGAATGCATTTAATGTTTTTTAAACCACTTTCTCTCGAGTTTTAGACTATGAATTAACATGCTGGCATACCTTGAGTACAGCAAACACTAATCAACTGAACTTATGCAGAGAGCAAGTTGTATGCTTCTTGCACAGGATTTGCGGTGATGTAAGGATGCCAAGCTCTGATTGAAGGATAGTGGGTAGACCTCAAAGCAGGCTGCCTTGAGGTGTACACACTATGCTTCAATAAGAACCAATCAGAGCTCGGCCTTCTGATGCCACCACAACCTCTGCAAAAGAAGCGGACAAACTTGCGCTCCGCACAGTCGGTGACAGGTTAAGAGTTCAGGGGAAGCTCCTCCCAACCCACTCCACTTTAGCAGAGTGAGCGCTGGAGAGGAGGTCGCCTCCTCTCCAGCATTCTTTTTGCTAAAGTGGAAAGAGGTTGGAGGGGTTCCCCTGAACTCTTAACCTGTCACTGACTACAAGTCCAGAAGTTGAGAGATCAGTTACGTGTCCTTGTAATGTGGTGAGGTAAGTATCTGCTTAACGCCGTCCGATATGTCAACAGCAAGAAAGAAAATTAAGACAAAATTCGCTGATGGCTCGCTCCTTACTCCCGTTTCGTGCCACGGGAACATAGTAAAATGGCGCAATAATGTGACGTGTGAAACATGTTTATTATGAAAGCTACGCAGACGGCTAAAGATCGGCAATCCCACGAGACCTGTGAAGTTGTCGCGCAAGATTTTCTCATCGAGAAACAGGAAATGGGAAGGGTTCAACTCGCCTCAGCCAGTGAACTAGAGCGAATGATAGCTGCTGACGCAACCCAGGGAAATGGAAGCTCCCCGGTCAAACTGCAGTACTGCTCTATCGCGGTTCTTGGCGGCGTCCGTGGCAAAAGAGTAACTGGAGTAACGTGTCGAAGCAGATTTTGTGCCTACTGTGTTGTGAAGTGAAAAGCGAAGTCTCCCTAAAATGGCGAACAATATCATAACAGGTTAGGGCAAGCAGATCGTAATATCAAAATTGAAAGGTGAAATACGCCCGTGTTCTACGCACACGCTATTAAATGGTCGTCATTCATTTCATAAACGGGTGAGAGTTGTCGGAGAGATTAGGCAAGCTCGCATGTTGACATCGGAAAGCTGCGAGTCTAATTTGAACGGGTGAAGGTTCTTCCTACTCCTTTCTTCACGTTTTACTCGCTATTATGCGCACACTAGGACTCTGAATTAGTGAGATCACAGTCCAAATTGTCTTACCCTTTTGCGTGTTCGTCCACCAACTGAAGATTCTAAAGCAAAATTCCCGAAGCTTCTCGGAGCACCGTCACCGCAGCAGCCAAACGCAACTCGCTTCCAAAGCTGACGTCATCGAAAGATCGTAGCTTGAATGAATATATCCATACATTGATAGATGAATGGATAAATGATTTTGGCTGAGCCCTCTGGATCTGACGGTAGCTTGCGCCACCTAGCCATTTTGTTTTACCATTTAAAGGGGCCCTGCATGCACTTTTTTACTGGTTTTTAATTTGCACCGAACCTGAGCGCACTGACCGTAGTACCTTGCCGAAACTTTTCTTTTCTCAAATATCGCTTTCTTTTAAAAGTTATAGGCAAATTAAAATTACCATGCCAACGTGACCACATCACGTGAACGTAGCTAGCCTTCGTCTTGCTATGGGCAACAGAAGGCTTTGCTATGGGGTACTAGAATACACCACAGTCTAGCCTTCGATCTGATAAAACCTACCGGACGGTGCGCGCGCAAGCCTGCAAGGAGTCCTTCTACAATCAACCATCCATTTCACAGATGACTTGTCACGTGCACCAATCGCCAGAAAGATCTGCGGTCACGCTGGGCACAAAATCGTTTAAACTTTTTATGACTAGGCTTCACCAATATTGCAACGTGCCCCCTCCTAGTACTTCTAACCTCCTTGGTTGCTTGAGTCAACCGAGTCAACGGGTTGAGTGGCCGTGAACTAGAGGAGGGATAGTGAGCTCAGCGAGCGCTCACGGCTGCCGCACTCCGTGTTGACCAAGGAGGTTAGAAGTACTAGGAGGGGGCACGTTGCAATATTGGTGAAGCCTAGTCATAAAAAGTTTAAACGATTTTGTGCCCAGCGTGACCGCAGATCTCTCTGGCGATTGGTGCGCGTGACATGTCACGTGTGAGATGGATGGTTGATTGTAGAAGATATCCTTGCAGGCTTGCGCGCGCTCCGTCCGGTAGGTTTTATCAGATCGAAGTCTAGACAGTGGTGTATTCTAGTACCCCATAGCTAGACGAAGGCTAGCTATGGTCACGTGATGTGGTCACGTTGGCATGGTAAGTGAGGAGAGTAAGGAAGAAAATGAGAAAGAGGCGAGGCGTCAAGGGAGCATGGCTTGTGGAGGCTACACGGCCGACGTCATGCCCTCTCCTACCCTTCTATTCTCCATGGTGTTGACGGCGCGAGAGGGCGCCACTAAAGCGTGTTCCATTTTGAGAGCGAGAGAGAAAAGGGGAAAGGGCTACCGGCGCTTTCCCCCTTTCTGATTGTGTAGAAAGAGTGGAAGTCCCGGATGAGAGGCATGGCCGGTGTTGGGCGTCTGCATTGCCCCAACTTCGTTCGCGCTTTCTTCTACCTTTCGAACTCCCAAACTTAATTAGAGCCATGGTCTTTGATGGCGACAGTCCCCCGGTCATCGGGACACCATTGCTGGGTGATAGGGTGCACGAATAACGACAGAAAGCGTCGAATACTGTCCGAGGGCTTATACACCGACACGCGGGCTTGACGTCACGGAGCTGCGGCGGCGCTGCGATCGCGCCGGAGCCGGGGGGTGTGGGCAAAAGCGCGCACGTTTCGCATGGGCGTCATAGCATTTCAGCATTGCGCGAAGCTGTGTTGCCGTTAATTTCACCGAAATGTACAAGAAAAGCAGCGGAGTGAGTTTCCACAAGTTCCCGGCAGACTCTGAAAGACATAGAAGGTAGATAATATCCGTGGATCGAAAAGAATGGTCGCCTCGCGCGAACGGCCGTTTGTGCGGCAAACACTTTCTTGGAGGCAAGTGCGGCTTCCATTTCAATCTCCGTCCCGAGGCTTGCTTATGTGCAGGGAAACCGTTGTCTGATCGAGACCACCCGGATTTTGTTCCCCCGGTGTTCGCGCACAACGCACCGGCCAAGCGCTCGTCGTAAGCTCGCTACGCCCGTGCTACCGAGCAGAAAGGGATCGGCGACAGAACGGCAGTGTTGTAGGCGTTACCAAAAAAAAAAAAAGTAACGAAATACGTTACTCGTTACTTGCAAATAAAAGGTACGCGTTACTGAGCTCCGTTATCTAAAAATAAAAGGAACGCGTTACCGCTACCGATAAAAAGTAAGGCACGTTACTTCTGCGTTTTGACGATACACGTCATATATCAAGCAGAAACTGAACATAATTATTTAATCTCTTTTTACGGTTTCACCTAAATACCTACAAAAAGAAAAAACGCAAAGAAAAACATGGCTTGACGCCTAAAACACGGAAACAATTGAAGTGTAATTTCTTTAAGACTTGGGAAGTAGTAGTGACTAAAGTAACAGCGTTACTTGAAATAGTAACATAAGTACGTTACCCGTTACTGTGTCAAAAACGTAACGAGTAGGTTACTACGTTACTGAAAAAGTAACGCATTTCTGGTAACGCCGTTACTTGTAACTTAATTGTTGCCGCCAAGACTGCAGAACGGACAGACCTTTACTGGTTGTAATGCCTTGTGGTCATGAGGGTATGAAAAATATCATACCTTGACTTGAAGACGCTCTGTGTATTTAATCAATTAATGAATACACACACTTCCGCAGACCCAGTCTGCTAATCCCGCCGGCAGTGCGGAAACCGACTCGAAGTAATCGTAGGCCTCGAGAGACTTTATTTATTTATTTATTTATTTAAAAGTTCCCTCAAGGCCCGAAGGCATTACAGAGGGGAGCGGGTTACATCAATAGAATTCAACAACATACAATGAATAACAACCTATGAATGTAAAACAATATGTACATATTAGTGAAACGCTGAAATGTGAACATTGTTAAGGCAATTTTTGAAAGCAACGCTGTCAGATATTGATACCACAGACGCTGGAAGGTGGTTCCACAACACTGTAGTTCGGGGTATGAATGAATTGTGAAAAGTAGTAGTGTTACATGAAGGTACGCCCATCTTGTGTCGGTGATCAAGACGCTGTGATATGTAAAAAGGAGGTGCTAATAACTTGTCACGCAAAGTATGATTGTGGTAGTAGATTTTGTGAAACAGGCACAAACGAAAAACTTCTCTACGCGATGCAAGATTAGGCAGGTTCAAACTTGATTTCATGGATGTTACGCTGGCAGTGCGGTGATAATTAGTAAGTATGAATCGGGCGGATCTATTTTGAATTGCTTCAACTGCAGATGTTAATACGTCAGTACCGGGGTCCCAAATTGAAGAGGCATATTCTAGTTTGGTGCGAACAAGTGTTTTGTAAAGAAGTAGTTTAAGTGATAAGGGAGCTGCTGAAAAATTTCGTTTTATGAAACCCAGCATACGATTGGCGTTACTTGTTACGTATTGAATATGAGTTTCCCAGGACAGATTGGATGAAATATGAACCCCCAAATATTTGTAGGTTGTTACTTGTTGTAAAGGAGTGTGGTTTAGGTAATAACAAGAGACATCACTCTGAAGCCGAGAAACCCTTATTACCTTACATTTGTTAGTGTTAAGCTGCATATGCCATAAGTCACACCATTCAGATACACGGTCAAGGTCACACTGAAGAGAAGAAACATCGGATTTGTTAGTCACTTCACGATATATAACACAGTCGTCAGCAAACAAGCTAATCGAAGATGAAACACAGGAGGGTAAGTCATTGACATATATAAGGAAAAGAAGAGGACCCAGTACAGACCCCTGCGGCACTCCGGACGTCACAGAAGCTGAAGGAGAAGACGTGTCATTCGCAAATACAAACTGAGACCGGTTAGTTAGGAAGGCGTGAATCCAAGATAGTGTAGCGGAATCAATGCTGAGTTTGCTTAGCTTATGAAGTAGTAGACTATGTGATACCTTATCAAATGCTTTAGCGAAATCGAGGAATATGCAGTCAGCTTGGGAACTTCGATCAAGAATAAGGTGAAGGTCGTTAGTGAAGGTTAGTAGCTGGGTTTCACACGAAAATGACTTACGAAAACCGTGTTGGGCGGGAGAAAAGAAGTTATTAGACTCCAAAAAGTTTACTAAATGTGAAAAAATGACGTGCTCAAGAATTTTGCATGGGATGCTTGTTAGCGATATGGGACGGTAATTAGAAGGAGAATGTTGATCACCCGTTTTGTGTATCGGCACCACCTTTCCCACCTTCCAGTCGTCCGGCAAATACCCACAATTAAGAGACTGATTAAATAGTTTAGAAAGTATTATTGAAGAATATTCTTTGGTACTTTTTAGGAATTTTGAATTAATATCATCTACTCCCGCGGAACACGATATTTTTAAATTATCGATTACATTAACAATTCCACAAGCATCAATAGCGACCGGGTACATAGGAACAAATCCAGTATGTTGAAATGGAGGTAAAGATGACACGTTAACGTCTGAAAATGAAGCCACAAAGGCGGAGTTCAAAACAAGGGCACACTCACTAAAAGGCACAGCATTTCCAGAGGAACTAAAAAATGATATTGACGATTTTTCATTTCGATTAATTACATTCCAAAACTGCTTTGGGTTGCTTGTTAAAAGTGATGGTAGAGTTACATTAAAATAAGTAGCCTTCGCATTTTCAATAGCACTTTTATAATTATTGGCTGCAATATGGTATGCAGACCATTTAGAATCAACATTTGAAAATGTAGCTGCTCGAAATTTTTGTTTTTTCTTGTTAGAAAGCCTTTTTAATGTGGTGTTAAACCATGGTGATTGCGGGTTAACGGAAATATTGCGCAAAGGTATATATGTATTAGTAAGATGCACAACCTGCGTTTTAAATAAATCCCAATTTTCCTGAATTGAGCGTTCCGAAAAGAGCGGCAAGTAATCATCAAGAAAAAAAGAAAGTTCACTGTTAATGGCCTCGAAGTTACCTTTAGCATAGTCGCGTATTTTTTTCTGAATCTTTGGAGCATTTCTAACAGGAACATCGATGACAAAATGTATTAATGAATGATCACTTATGCCCTGCATGGTGCTAATTGAAGATATTAAAGAAGATGACGTTGTTAAAATTAGATCCAATATGTTGGCTGTTGTATGGGTAATTCTAGTAGGAAGAGTCATCAATTGACTGAAGCTGAAATCGCTACACATGTTTATGAAGTCAGTCGCGTCTGATGAAAATGGGTGACTGTAAGC